CGGGTAGCGCGGCCTCCGAGCGGGGTTTCGCGGGGCCGATCCCCAGTGCCGGGCGGGGGTCGCCCGCGCGTTTCGCGTGGGGGCGCCGGCGGGGGAGGGGAGGACGGCTTTGAGCAGGCTTTCGCTAGGACAGCCCACCCCTCCCGCCCGTGAACCTGAGATTCTTCCTCGTCTGGTCTTGGCTGGAGTCGCTGAAGTTGGTGAGGCCGCCGCGGCCTTTGGCCCGCTCGGTCTTGCCCGGCCTCTGAGGGTCGAGTCTGCAAAACTTGCTCTCGACTTCATCCAAGAGCTCATCCAGGTCCTTCGCCATCTTGAATCGTCACGTTTCCCTCTCGGGGGTGGCCCGGGGCCGCGGGTTTCCATGGCAACGCGAGAACCCGCGCGGGGCGGGCGCGCATGCGCGAGCCCCGAAGCCGCAGTGGCCGACGCCCGCGAGGTGGGGGCGCTGCTGAGTTCGCAGTGGAGGTCGGGGCGGGTCCAGAGGTCGGGGCGGCGCGGGGTGCCCCGCCGGGGGGAGACCCCGGCTGTCGGCTCCTGCTGGCCTAGCGGACGCTGTCGCTTTAGTTCCTCCTAGCTTTTCCACCAGCTCGCGTCCGTTTTCCTCGCCCGCACTCACGCTGTTTCCGCAGTGCCCTTCGCCCCCTCTTCGGCCCCTCCGTGCGGGTCGGCCATTCGTAAATACCTTAAATAATCTGCGGGTGGTCCCGAGAGGACGCTCCAGATGAAAAAGAACATTGTTTTGGGAAAAATTTCACTTCCCGTAGTCGGCAGGATTCGAACCTGCGCGGGGAGACCCCAATGGATTTCTAGTCCATCGCCTTAACCACTCGGCCACGACTACTGCTGGTGTGAATTTTGGCAGTGAGATTCTATGTAGACTCTGGGCACCAGCGTCTGCCGCAGTAACAGGTGCCACGTAGCTCCGGAGAAGGCCGCGGCCCGGCCGCCCGGCTCAGGCGCCGTCCGCGCGGGGGCTGAGATCCGTTGTCGGAGGGGCACTTGGAACGTGCCCACCCTTAGTATTCCGTCAGATAAAGGGAGTTTGAGTCGGATCTCCTGAGTCACAGTCAGCGAGCGCGAGGAGGAGCGAGGGCCAGAGGCTCGGCGGGAGGGGAGGGAGAGAGAGCGAGTGAGAACCAGGGGGGACGCTCAGGGTTAGGACTCACCTACCCCATTGCACCGCCCGGGGGCCATGTCTCCCGGAGGAGCTGCAACTGTGGCGCCGCCACCAGTTCGGCTGCGCCCCTCTCTCTAAAGGATCAACTTCCAGGGCTCTCTTTTTCTCCAGCTAGTATGTAAATTGCTGATAGCCACCTGTTCACAGGTGCCGTGCCCCGTCAGGCCTTCCCACCGTTTCAGAGATAGTGTTATGAACGTTATTCCTGTCAATGCTCTCCGCCGTCTAACCAGTGCCCCAGGAGCATGTCTAAAATGGGATTAGCAAAGATCCCTGGAAACCCTGGGAATGGTGTGATCCAGATGATTTATTAGTTTCATGAGTTTACTTTGTTGGGAATATCCTTGCTGTCCCGGAAGAGCGACCTAAAACGAGTGGCGCGCTAGACGGCAGGCTGCCTCACCACTGGACTCCACCTTTGAAGTCTAAGTAATTTCCAGAACATGTTATCGAGCAATTAGCTTTAAAAAACTAATTAAAAATTCGCCACCTTCTGATTATTATTATTTTTTTTTTTACTCCACTTTACCATTTCTTATGGTGGTGAAGTATTGATGTGTATTGTTTCTGGAAAATTGTAAATGCTATAAAATCTGTGCCCCCACCCCCAAGAGCTGCTAAAACTTGTGTTTTCATCTAAGCCGTGTGTATGTGTGTGTTAAACTTGTGTTCAGGTTCACTAATTTTACATTACCATCAACAGTGTGTGTACAAGGGTTTATTCCCCTCCCCCCCCAGCATCCCTGCCAGCATTGTTTTTTGTTTATCTTTGGCTTTAATTTTTAAAATCATTATTGTTCTTTTCATTTCTTGGCCAGTCCTGGGGCTTGAACTCAGGGCCTGGGCTCTGTCCCTGTGTTTCTTTGTGCTCAAGGCTAGTGTTCTACCATTTGAGCCACAGCTCCACTTCCAGCTTTTTCTGAGTAGTTTACTGGAGATAGAGTCTCCCAGACTTTCCTGCCCTAGCTGGCTGAACAGCGATCCTTAGATCACAATCTCCTTGTAACTAACATTACAGGCATGAGCCACTGGAGCCTACCTTTATCCTTGGTTTTCAGTTTTATTTTAAATTTTATAATCTTCAAGTAGTTGTACAAAGCATTTTTAATTCAATATATCAATTTATTAGTATGATGAATCTCTATCAATATCACTCCTTCTATTGTTCTCCTTCATTTCTCCCAAGGTTATCCATTTCCTTGTTTTTTGATGTTTTGATGTTAGCTGTTGCGATTGGACTGAAAGGAAATGTCATGGTTGTTTGATTTGGATTTGTTTATGGCTAAGATGTTGGGCTTAAACTCCACAAGCTTTTCCTTGGCTTTTTTTACTCCAGGCTGGTGCTCTATCTTTTGAGCCACACATCCACATCTGACTTGTTGTGGTTTAATTGGAGATAAGACGCTCTTGTTTTTTTTTGTCCTGGGGGGAATGGTTTCATATCTTCTCATATCTCAGCCACCAGAGTGGCTAGGATCACAGGTGACATGTAATAGTAGTTGAAAGAATCTCTTTGAGCAGGTAGATGATTTTTGAGAGACTATGAAAATATAGAAGGACATGTTTCTGGTTTTATATTTTTGTGTGAATTTTATTTTTGTTTGTTTTTTTTGGGTCCGGTCATGGGGCCTGAACTCTGGGCCTGGGCACTGTCCCTCAGTTCTTCAGCTCAAGGCTAGCCCTCTACCACTTGAGCCACAGCGCCTCTTCCGGCTTTTTTCTTTTTGCTTATGTGGTGCTGAGGAATCGAACCCAGGGCCTCTGGCATGCAAGGCATGCGCTCTACCACTGAGCCACCTTCCCAGCCCCTTGTGTGAATTTTAGAAGGAAATTGGAGCTTGTTCCCTTTGATCTACAAACCACGTGTTGTAGATTATTCAGACTTGGGTATTTTCAGAGTTTTGTTTATGGCTGTTTCAGGTCTCCAGTGGCTCTCCTGACTGTAGGGATATTCCTTTTCTGGATAGCAGTGCCACATTTCACCTAAATGTTATGACATGTATGGTTGTCTAATCAACTATACAATGACAGTAGGCCATCAGAATGTCAGAATGTCAGGAGTGACTTCAGAGGACTACAGACCATGGAGGCAGATACCCACGATGAGTGTAGGCAGTCTTTCCACTTCATACAAATCATTAGAAGATAAAAATTTAAAAAGTTACATATTCCTTTGGGTTTTTGTTTTATTTTTAAAACTTGAACAATCTTGCATAGCTCTAAGTCTTTCCTAGACTTAGAAAACATACTGAGCATCAGATGTTTCAGAAAGAACTGGCAAGTGCCTTCAGATGCTACAGTTATTAAACAAGGTAAAAGGGGGAATGCCATGTATTCTTATATACACCTAGTATTCCAAGGAAATATTTTAGGGAATAAGTATTCAAATGAAGAAAATAAAGCCTACTATAATCCTAGATACTATATTATTGTACAGAGGGGTTACAGTTACATGAGCAAGGTAATTAGTCCACTTCTTAGTGAGCATTATTACCCCTTCCTTTGTTTTTCTCCTACCATCCCCTTTCCTCCTACCTCTCCATCCATAAGACTCTTTTTTTGTTTTTGTTTTTCCTCCATAAGACTCTTATCTCTAGCTAACCACCAAATAACTAGAAGTAGTGCTGGGGCTCAAGTAGTAGAGCACTAGCCTTGAACAAGAAACCTTGAACATCGGCACAGGCACTGGGTTCAAGTCCTAGGACTGGCAGAAAAGAAAAAAAAAGGAAGCCTTATGGGCTTTTCCAAGTAGTTAAAGAGTGCTCTCTCTGAGCCTGTTTCTTGTGAGTTAGAGGTGGTGAGACAGCTGGTTGTCGTCCCCTATAGCTCCAGGCTAACCCCTTCAGTTACAAGGTGTTTTATAATTCTCCTGACTATTCACGTAATGAATTGCAAGGCCTTTTTGAATTCCCATGTACTTAGGTTTAATTTTTCAGCCCTGCTGTTCTCCCCACACATCACAGGCCTGCTGAATAAATACCCACTGCTGGCCAGTGGCATTGGCACACGGGAGGCATCCTCTAGGAACACGGCAAGCTTCCAAGCAAGGAGGCTAGGGGAGAAATAGGACAGTTGTTTTTAAGGATACCCTGAATTAGGCCTCGATGTCATGTAGGTAAATTCAGTCCAGAGAATGCAGAATCTTTATTGGAATTTGTACATTCATCTCTCACAGCTGTGGAGAGTTTAGACTAATCACCGCTCTCACGGGGATGCTATCATGTTGGTAATTTGAAAAAGGATCAGGAGCCTGCAGGCTTGGAACATCTTGAGAAAACTCTGGCTCTGAAATACACCATCACATGCCGGGGAGACCACTTGCAGCATCATCGCAGAGAGCTGAAGAATGCTGAAATCAAGTATTTCTTTGGCACAATTTCAAATGGCTTGAGAAATCTGAGACCTTTTTTTTTTCTTCTTAAACTGCAAAACAGATTCTTTCCTCTTCCATCAGCCCCACTGCTGTCAATATGTCGAATGTTAGGTGCCAGAAACGAGCCTAGCTGCCTAATGATAACAATGCCAAGGTTACACAGCCATCAGAGGCTCCTCTCAAGAACCAGTTAGGGTGGATTTTGAAGGTGTATACCTCTTTGGTCTTTCTAGTCTCAGTATATTTCTCTTCAGCAGTTGGGATAAAACCTGTCACTTTTTGCCATATCCTAGGTTTTGGGACCCTCTCAGATACCGTTTTTCATTGACCTATATGTCTTTATGATAGGGCCAGGTTCACAGTTGGTGTTTGCGTAGCAGCTTCTGACAGCACAGAGGCCTAGTGAACTACTGTCGTCTGTTCAAAAGGCCAGGATTCCCAGGTGTGCCATGAGGGTAACTCAGTCTCTGGCTCCACCCAAATGGATATTTTATCACCATTCATGTAGCAACCAACTAACATATGAGCCTGAGAAGGCAAAGTGCTAATGTGTGTGGCTCATCAACATTCTGAGGAGACTGTCCAGCTTCTTTCTGAAGATTTTGCATTGAAACATTCTCCCCGCTTCCCCCCTCAGGCCCCCCCCTTTCCCCAGTTCTACAGCTCCTTCTTCTCCTCTCTGTGTTTCATATGATTTCTTGCTTTATGATTTTGATTTGGTGGATTTGGTGCCTATCAGTTTCTCTCCATTGGCCTCTTAGGAAG